GGAACCGAGGAGTGGAAGCAGCAGGCGGTTAGAGAAATGAGAACTCCTCCCCTCTGAGCGGTCATTTTAAAGAGACGTCCATTAATGATGACAGGAGGCAGAGCAGCCCTCTGTCTGATGGAAGATGTGTTCATGACGACTTATACTTTGATTCATTCACAGTGCGGTATAATGAGACAATAACAGGCTACAGATGCGGACACACATATATATATATATATATATATATGGTTCGCAGTTCCATATGCACAAAAACATTATGTTTACATGATCTCACCCAAACCTGACAGCAGAAGAAACAGTTTTGACACAACTATGTAAATATGTCTGGAAGAGGAAAGGGCGGAAGATGTAAACATTATTCCTACTATAGTTGACCGTTTGATGATTCGCTCGGAACGACCTGTTCCAACAGACTCGAAAATGATTGGAAGAGGAAAGGAAGGAGGTGAAAAAGGGTAAAAAAAAAAAAATACAAAATAAAATATATATATAAGAAAATGTCTCTTCCTGGAAGCGTGCCATCTTTTGCTTCAACATTTGGACAGTTTTGGGTTCTCCTGAACTTCACAGGCTCAGGAGAACCCCCAAGTCGTGAATATGTTGGAGAATCACTATTATTTGATACCTGCTGGATCAATACAAATGATGTGTATTCCTTCATTGCACTGCCAAACAGAAAGGAGTTTGAACTTTGCTTTTTGCTAGAAGCTCCTCTGAGACGTTTCCTTGATGTTCTCGCAACTAAAACCTCAGATCCCAAGTGGAAAGACTGGACTTTCGAATCTTCCATTCAGATAGATATCTCAAACATCATTGTTAAATTCTGGACTGGCCGTATTCCAGACCATGATGTTGAGACCTATTTGAAGAGATACGGAGATATAATCAGCAAATACAAACCAATAGATACATTTGGGATATGGCATGGAGTGAGAAAGTACAAAATTAAGATGAACAGAAACAGTGATGGTGAGATCCAAAATCTCCCAAATTCGATATCTCTTGGCCCCTATAATGGGATAAATAAAAGACCTTTGGGGACAGGGATGATAGCTCATATATGAGACTTCAAAGGTCTTTTATTTTGAAACTGTAAATCAGAATGTCCTGATTTTTTCTGAGTGACGACATGGGATGTCCTGCTATCACCCTGAAGTGAAATGNGAACAAACGAATCTATAATGATTTGATGTCGGTCATGTTTATGTCTTTCATTCGTCGCACACACGAAAGACACCATGTCATACTGACACATGCCACCACGTACACAACATGTCACTACGCAACTCTACCGACAGCATCCGTGAGAGACGCTCTAACCGCACGAGCGAACCTAAAGGCAGCGTACGATTGGAAAAATAGACTGAACGATGTTCATGTAGCAGACACTGCATATACTTCTTCGTCGATGAGTATTGCTAGAATCATGTTGGATAGAGATTCGTACGTACGGCATTCATAGTACAGTAAGAGACTCAGGAGAGCTCTCTTCTGTGAGTCTTAGACTGGCCCGGCCGTAGGTGCGAGGTGGCCGAAGGGCTGTCTTTAGCAGTCACCTCGTCGCTAGCACGGAAGAGGAGCCATCTCGAGGAGGTCTCTCGGAGCTCGGAGCTACGAGCCGCAGGAGCTTCCACGTAATCTTTTTAATCTACAGGAAGTTTACGCGGCGCCGGACTTTAAGTAAAGGCCCAGTGATGGCGCTCGCTAGGCTCCTCAGCTAGATCTTCCTTAAACTCAATAACTCTTTCGGAGAGAACGTAGAGAGGTGCGGAGGGACCACCTACGCTGATCAGCGTCCCTTTGTTGCGGTTCACTCCTGCGTTCGCTTAGGTCAATTGGCTTACACTTTCCCGGGGTTCAGGTCTTCACGCGGCTGAATCTACTTTTATAGTGGGACTACTTTTATAAGCACCTCCGTTTGCCGCATGATGTGAAGGCAGACCACGGTCGCGGGACCTTCGTGAAAAAGGGTACTGGCAAATGGTACCCTTTCGTGCACAGACATTTTAGCAACGCTATTAAAAAAAAATTGATTTATTTGACTGGGTCGGATACGTTGTGCAACATATCGGGGAATAATTTTTATTACACAGGAGTTCAGACATGTCTTAGAACGATTATTGCGAATACAGACTTCTCAATAAAGGGAGACGTATACCTTGCACGCGCGTAGATTGGGTGCGGCCGGGCGCGGCGGGCAATGCAGAAGAGTACATGCACAAGTCGTGTAGCCACGGGCTGGTTAGTCTCGTTTGTGACACGAGTGTCCCTCCCACCCCCGGACCTCGATACCTCGATGTTACTCGGCAATTTCGTCTCTCCTTTAAGCTATTATCGTATATGTGACACTCGAACATGTCTCTCGACATACTCTTTGGTTACACTCAACGCAATAGAGAATGGGTACTACGTGTTAATTCTTGCCTGGGCTATACGAATGAACGATAGGGTGCCTTCGACATTCTTTAATATATAATCGTGTACAACGCCATTAAGTAACTAATAATGATGTACCCGAATACTAATTTATAAGATGGCATTTTCACAACATAATTTATTTAATTACTAATAGGCTGCAATTAAATTACAGGGACATCGAACGAATCACTCACGTTGGATTCTTAGATCAACAACCCGGGTGTCTCCCCAGGTACGTTGTGCGAACTCATTACATAACTAATTATAGTTTAGGCAGAATGTATTAGGTAATACTAGGTAATGGTCGAAGCCATTTGACGGAACTTAGCAGACAATGAGCCCCTCTCTGGGAACGTTCACTTGTCTCGTAAGTCCAATCCTGATATATCTTTATAACGCGTCGGGGTGCGCGAGAGGTTCTCGCGCTGCATATGCCCATGAGGACATCCGTAGGCCTTTGTAAGTCGATGGGGCTAAGTGGTCAGGTTACCTCCACTATTATGCTACTTGGCGCCGAGCCGCGTTGCGACGTCGACTGCGCAGAGACTTTTAGGCTTCTTTACATATTCGGAGAGGGCCAGTCGAGCTGTTTGGAATTACGTTTAGGGTATCGCCTAAACTTTTATCGAGCTCTTATTGCAGTACGCGTATGTAGTTCTCTCCCTACAACTAAGTCGGCCTGTATAGTAGTAGGTTGTTGCGCGATGAAATATTAAACCACTTAGTATCTTAGATCAGCGTCTTTGCTTTTACGATGAGCGAACAGATTATTCTGGATGTAACATAGATATCGCGGTCTGACTATTCCGTCGTCCCGAGCGTGCTTGTAGCTTCCAAGTCGGTGGCTTTCGCTTTCGGTAGCAAAGGTTGACTGAAGTGACTATCTGCCGCTTGAAGAGCTTGTATGCAATACACGCTGTACAACACGCACCTACACACTGTACTACACGCACACCTACACACTGTACCACACACACCTACAGCTCCTAAAGCATAATCAGGATACAGCCGTTGTGTATTTTATTATGTGAAGCACTAAATGGTCTTAGAAAAATATCAACTTTTTGTTTGTAGATATCGACTAAACTACAGCATACAAATACAGCAAGTAATGTAGGCCTGTTATACTGAGTGATATATATTATACACACTGCTCTGCTTTCTGCACGGACCTCACAGCTGTTCTCACTGTAAACATCGCGTTGCGATGAAAGCAGTTACTAAAATAATATCCAAGGGATGCATGCAGAGCTGTCATTGGCTGAGATAAGTCCGGCCGTGCATCACGCCTCCACCGTTCCCGGAAATGCATCCGTGGAGGAGCCGTGGAGGACCCATCAGTGTCTCCTTGGTTAGAGCTCCTCCAGAGAGCCTCCTCGATGCTCGATGCTCGGTCCTCGAAGTGCATTTAGAGAAATGAGATGTCCTTCAAAATGGCGCGCTGAAATTCATTTCCGGGTCACTACCGGAGGACCGAGGAGTCGAGGAGGGGAAATTTGAGTATTGAGAAACCTCTTGTGTTTGATAAAGGTCATTGCATTCAACACAAGTATCTCGAACCTTTACGCTGCCTGTTCCTCTGAGCGCTTTGAAACTCTGTAAAATACCAACCGGTTGCATCCAATGCAATTATAATAAACATTATAGTATCAATTAAAAAAGGTTTTTGAGTAAATACATTGTCTTTTTGGCTCTTATCTTGTTCATAAGAAAGAGTTTCACCGATATGCTAGAAGAGTGTTAAGCAGGATACAAAAAGAAAGAGCTTAATGTTTATCTCTTTTGCAACAACACAACAATATTGCCAGTATTTCCAAGGCAACTTCAGGGTTTATTCATGTTTGTGTATTGTAGTGCGACAAAAATACAATTTGGATACATCCAAATAACATAGACTACATCACACCTGAGGTCAACCATTGCATCAGACGGAAACAAAATACTTCCAGAACACAGATGTTATGAACCTGAGAGCAGTTCAAAGAGAACTAAAGGGAACACCGAGAACCGGCGACACAAATACAGGGTTTCCTTTTGTAAGACAGTGTGACGATCCCTGCGGTGTTCCTTTATTGCTGTGAGATGACACATAATACATTCCAACGCCAGCCTCATGAGTATCACATGAAACTGAGTTGCATGGAACTTTTTAGTCTGCAGACATTGGTATTACGGAGATGGATGTAGGAGTATGTGGAACATTTAAGAACAGAGTCCTCATCCGCAACCAATTAGCCACCATGGCAGACGACACATCTTTTTCGAAGCATCAATATGATGGCAAAAGCCCAAAAGGCCTACTAAAATAGTGATAAGAAATGAAGCAAAAACATAAAGCAGGTGATTTAAGCCACCATGCAATCCAGAAAGATAATTGTCAATTATAATCAAATAACAATGAATATTTATCACAGTGCAAACCGCAAGCTGCTGCAGGGATCACTAATTTCAGTCACTCTGGGATGGAATAACTGAAGTAAACCAAACTGTTTGGAAATTGCTGCTGTTGTCCTTTTTTCCTCTACTCTCTCTTACTATACATGCTAGGCCTATAACCATAATTTCTCTTTCTATTTCAGATGGGAAGATTGAATCTTGCAGATGCAGGAACAGATTTTTACTCAAGATCAAAAGGCCAAAAGAGAGGTCCATTCTCGGTCTGTGAGCTGCAGATTAAAGAGCCTGAAGACCAGATGAGTCCACTTGTTAAAGCTGCCTCAACGTCTTTCAGTCCAAGAGAAGGGCGTATGGAAGCTCACGAGACTCATATTTGAACCATTATCACTAAAGCACCAAAAGTTTAACAAGCCTTAAACTAAGCTACGCACGTCATGTTTCCAAATATACAGTTAACATTGATAAATGATTGCAGATTTACAACTCAAAATGTGTTTTCTACTTTGTGAAACTGTGGCCTAGTGTCAGACCGAAGTAGACTCCACTTCTATATGCAAAATGGATTACTGTTCTGCTTTCTGTTCTTAAAGGTCACCTATTATTTAAAATGCACTTTTTCCTGTCTTTTATACATCAACATGTGTCCCCTCTGCGTAAAGAGATTCTGAAAGTATCAGGAAAAAAGATTTGCTCACTTTTTGTCCTGATCCATTTATATGAAAACCTGTCTGAAAATGAGCTGATCAGATTTTGGCCAATTTACGATGTCATAATGTTTTTATGGCTTGTGTAACCATTAGCCAATAACCAACCAAGGTAACACCCCCCACCACCTTATCACTTGAATCTCCTCGTAGAGCACCATTGTGTTTTATAACCACATATCTCTCAGAGGGGTGTGGGGAGTGGCTCCTTGTTTTCATCTAAAGTAACAGACAGAGAATCAGCACTTTTGAAACAGGGCTGAAACAGAGGGGATTATGGGATGCTACAATGATCTGTTTGGTATTTGGAGCCAAACACTTAAGAGACATGTTTTGTATATATCTGAGACCTATGATATATTCATGAAAAACAGTATAGTAGGGGACCTTTAAGATTAGGCAATTGTTGCTGGTGGACGGCATGACAAACACTTATTGGTAAAAAGCTTTAAATGGCAAAGAGTTTATGTAGTTAATTTATAATACAAGCTGTTGAATTCAAAAGCTGTCAAAGTGGTATCAGCCATTGTAGAATAACACAAGTCATCCAAATGATGTATCTCCTTAACCTCCAAATAATTTTTTATTTTTAAATGAATCTTTTTATCCTGCAGAAAGCTTTAATTTGTAATAAAGGACTTTCCTATCTTCCACGTTGCTTTGAGTTGTATATGCTGTTGCTATATTTACCATATCAATAGGGCTAAAGAATATCAAAATGAAGACATACAAGTCAGCTTGATAAAAAACAATGGGTATTCAGGATGTTTGAAATAGCTCAAAGGAAGTGTTTTAATTTGCAGAGCGGGAGTGCCAAAGGCTGATCATTTCATTTTTCTCTGGGATGTACCTTAACCTCTTTGAATCAACCCTGTGATTGACTTCTCCCCCCCTCTCACAAACCTCTAAGAGATTACACAGGTGCAGCTAATGGATGGATTTTCAAACACCTGATTAGAAACCCTGAAAGAAACAGGCTCAAACGGGCTCTTGGAGCAATGGGAGTTAAAAGGGTGCGGGTGATTGATGTATTTATATCCTCCTCTACCCGCTGTGGACCTCAAAGCAGTGACAGCAGAGTGGTCCCACAATCAATGTCAAGAATTATGAAGCCGTCTTATAAAACTCTCTTCAACGGAAGCTGACGACGGAATCCTTTAATCCAATAGTTTAGACAGCTGACTTTCTTTTCTCTGACATTATTTTACTCTTTAGCCTAGTTTAAAATGACCGTTGCTGTATATTTTTAGACCTTTAAGAGCTCTTTTTATTCTAGGTCTGCATTTGTGGGCTTTTTCTCAGGGAAAAAACATATATATTAATCAGGATCACTTGTGTAAGGCAATATAATATAATAATAATATTAATCAAGATCTGATGTATTTGGATCAGACTAAATGAGATACAGTCGACTCTAGGTTGTAAGTGTCCGCATGATCCTCTAAACATAATGTTCCCATACAACAAAACTGCGTCCATGACGTTTCAAGGGGAAACATACGGTTCTTTCGCGCCAGTGTTTTTCAAATGTAGATCCATAACTTAAATAATGTAACAAATGTACTACAGTTAGGCTAAACTGTGATCTTTAACAAAACATATACTATAAGTAGTTTTATTACCTAAACTTAGCCAAAAATGTTTTTTATTGCATTTTATTTAGTTTTATATCATCATCAAACATTTTTCATCAAAGTATTATTGAGATTTGAGTTAAATTAGGTTAGAAAATATGGTATGACTCACGTTATTCATAAGCTCTTCTTTACCTACTCCCATCAAAGGTTCAGTCAGCTTTGTTGGTTCTCACGGTATGAGAAAATAACTTTGTATAAAATATAGAAGGTTAAACACAATTAGTCTTATCATAAACAACTCTGGTGTAATGCTCTCTGTTTCACGCTGCTGCTCTCTCTTCTGTATCAGATCCACTTTCAAGTTCTTGACAAATTGTATTTCTCATTTGGTCGTAAAAGTGTTTCCAAAATGCTGTGGACGATGTTGAAATGTTATTATTTGATTTTATATCCTCACTTCTCTTAGCCATTGTCAACAATTAGATTGGTATGACTCATCCAAATAAGCAGAAGACTTCGTAAAAGGATGAAAGGACACATTCATCTAGTTTCCTTGGGAGACTATTGATATGTAAACAGCGAAGACAAAAAACTGGATGTGAATCTACTCAATGACGTAGCTCATCCATTCATAATCAACGTGCCGACATATTCAAGGTTGAATTTCCTTTTTTGGATATCAGAAGGAAATGATCTGAATATTAAATGGTTAATAATCTTGAAAGAAAAATCGGATTTGCACGTAACCACATTACAGTTTTTCTCGATAAATGTAATGTCATGTGGGATGTTGGGTGTTGCAAACATCACAACATACCAAGCGAACACCATGTAATGTAATTTTTCTGTCACCCTAAATTACAAATATGGTCTAACGTTCTCACAAGCATTTAAATATATTTGAGGGACAATTACAAAAACACTGAACACTGACAAAACCTTTTTTGGTATTATTTGAAAGCATAATGTTCTCAAAGGGCTTCTGGCTCAAGGCCATCCATGGAAAAGTTCCTTGGTTTGTGGTAACGGCTTGCTTCCTCAGATTTTTTAATAAACTGGAGGAGCGGGTTGTGTACTGTGATCCGTCATTCATGCTTTTGAGGGCACCTGGCTGGCAGAGCAAGAGACAATCTCAAGATGCATTTGTCACGAGTACTTCAAAGCGAGTTATTAGGACTCCATTTCCCACAGCCGGTCCGCAGGTGAAGGAGCTGCGAGCAAGGTGTTATCTGCATTATATCACAGTGGTCATGAAAAAAATGTATGTATTTCACTTTGGAACTGAACTCTGAATCCGGTGTCTTTCACTTTGCTATTATCAAAATTGTCTTACCGTTTTTCTCGATTGCTAACACACTAAAATGATACATAAAGCACAATTATTTTAACTGACACTCAAAGAGCAAAACATCGGCTCAAATCTCCAAAACTCTAAACGCGTTTTCAGCTTTTCACACAATTTGCAAATCAACATAGCAATTTTTGCAAACCACTGCACACGTTTCTCCACGTAAGACACAGGAATCTGACATAAAGTCACGTGTTAGCAGGTTTAAAACACTGATATTCAAAATGCCTCACCCATGGACTAATGATCAAGAAACACGTTCCACCTGTCCAAACACCTGATGGCATAATTCTTGGCTCATCAATCAGGATGTTAGCACTATAAAAGACCACAGGTGAGTACTTACAGCAACAATGAAAGCCAACAAGCAAGAGCAAGAGGAAGAGCAAGAGGAAGAGGAAGAGGAAGAGCTGGGCTGAGAGTGAGAGGAGGAGGAAGAGCTGGGCTGAGAGTGAGAGGAGGAGGAAGAGTACTCTCTAATGAAATGAAATGTTATCAACCATGGTTTGACGATGAGAGAGGCTGGACAGAGGGTTCAGCCTAATCTAATCCGATTTACTGTTGCCTCTGTAATCCGGACACTTAGACTTGACAACAGGTTAGTTACCAGTTTTTAGCTCTGCATAATTCATGATCTATCAGTGCTTATATCTGTTGTGTGAAACGTATTTACTTCATTACTGTTACTGAATTGTTGGCATGTTGCATACTATAACTGTACAAAAATCCTGCACATTTTACTGTGGTAAACTTACTTTTATGCAACACACACACTGACCATCCACTATATCTTTATTGTTTATCTGAAGGACTGAGAAAAAAAGAGATGCAGGTGGAAGGCTAAGGATTTTCAATGAGGCACAGGAAGCAGCAGTTACAAACTGGGTTTTGGCAAACAATGCATCACACTTAGAGAGATCTGAAGCATAGTAACTATGTGCTGAGATGCATGTTGCACAATGTTATCTTTGAATAAAATGTGATTTTTTTCATCAACTAATTTGTATTTCTTCACTTACTGTATGTCTGTATACTCAAGCAATCTTTCTCTGCAGAAACCTCTATGTACAGAGCACAGCCCGTAACAGATGAAAGGGCTTTAGATTATGCTCAGCAGTGTGTAGTTGGGTGGTCAAACCATCTAGTATTATGAATGAAGTGTGTTATATTTGGTGCAAAAGTTTGCATTTGGTAAGTGTTTATGTAGTTTTGAGTGCAGTTCTTCATTTAGCAGGAGAAATGAGGTGTTTTGCACTTTGGGTGTGTGGTTTTGTGAATTGTGTTTAGTGTTCTGAGAAACTGAGCAATTAAAAAAAAAATGTGTGTTAGCAATCGAGAAAAACTGTAACAAGGAGAGTCAGACTTCAAAAAAACTGTTAGATGAGTCCTCCAGCATGGAGTCAGCCCGACACACACTTAGCTCCCTTGTGATGTGCTCACAGGAGAGCTGAGAGCACAGATAAGATATCGAGCCGCTGTCTGACTGGGCTGACCTGTTTGAATCATTTTAAGCACCTTAACGGCTGAACTTGCAGCTAACATTTCCCCCAAGATCTGGCAGCTAACCCAATTTAGAAGCAGCAAAATACCACTTCAATGTAGAATACATTTTTTCTCGATTGCTAACACACATTCTTTTTTTGAATTGCTCAGTTTCTCAGAACACTAAACACAATTCACAAAACCACAACTGAACAATTAAAAAAAAGAATGTGTGTTAGCAATCGAGAAAAACTTTAAATAAAGGGCATGCACACATTATTGAGCAATTACAAATTAAAAGGTTATTCCAATTTACAAGTTACAAAGTAGTCGTCTTTTTTGTTACATTTTTGCACGTTGGGGTAATTAGTAATTACACAACAGTGGTATCTTAGTCTGTGTTGTTGTCTGAGTGTGGGGGTCTACCAGGGGCCATCATGGTTGTTCAGTCTGACCGCTGCAGAAAGGACCTGGGTATCTTCAATGAAACACCGCGGGTGACAGCCTTTCACTGAAGGAGCTGCACAGTGAGGACAGGGGGTCCTGGAGGGGGTGGGGGGGACACATTGTCCAGCAGGGAGGACAGACTCTCCTCAGCAGATAAAGTCTGCTCTGTCCTTTTTTGTAGAGGGCAGCAGTTAACCGATCAATCCAGTTTATTGCAACACCCAAGATTTCACAATCTCAATGTCCGCTCCCTGGATGATCACTGGTGTTGGGGGGGGGGTTGTAGTCTGAAGTCCAAGTCGATGAAATTCTAATTACTGTAATTTGAAGTATACATTATATACAAAATGGGGGACAATTGAAGTGTCTACACTCCATGCTAGCACCTCTTTGAGGCTGTTAGGCACAGCAATGTGAAGTGCAAACACCAGCCTGCTAACAGGCTCATCATTCAAAAAATTAAAGGATCACCAACGTGAGTATGATTTATCCTGAGGGGGCCATGAATATCTGTACCAGATTACATGGCTTTGGATCAAACAGTTGTCTAGACATGGAACAACTGAAAATGTAAACCTCTTAGTGGTTACAGAGGAAAGTTCAGGGGATTACAAATCGTTTAGGATTCATCCCCTGGGCAGCATGGCTATCTGAACCAAAAATTAGGGCAATGCATCCAATAGTTGGCGAGACACTGCCGGTCTTATAAAATGTGAATATTAAATATTAGAGGGATAAGGTGGCAGAGGAAAGAATTAGAAAAATAATTTCTGCGCTAAGTGAAGGGAAAGTAAGC